GTGGTGCTGACGCGCCGGGCGGCGCACGCCTTCGAGCTGGCGGAGCAGGCGCTGGCGAGCGTGCTGCTGCAGGAGCCCGTGCGCGACATGGACGCCGTCGTCGTCTCCGTGGCCGGCGCCTTCCGCAAGGGCAAGAGCTTCCTGCTCGACTTCATGCTGCGCTACATGTACGCCCAGGTAGGCCCCGCCCCCTTCCTAAACCCCCTGGGGCAGCCTGCATCCACTGTACTGCATCCCCTGGGGCTGTGCGCCCTGGGGTTGGCCCTGCTCCCTTCCCAGAATGCCCTGGGGCAGCTTGTGCCCGCTGTGCCGCATCCCCTGGGGTTGGGGTAGGTTCTGCCCCCCTCCAAACATCCCCTGGGGTGGGCCCCACCCCTTTCTAGCACTTCCTGTTGCTGGCCTTACCCCTTCCCAGCATCCCTTGGGGCTGGGTGCCCAGGCTAAGACCCTACCCCCTTCACAGCATCCCCTGGGGTTGGCTGCCCTGGGGTAGGCTCTTCCCCCTTCCTAGCATCGCCTAAGGCTGGGTATCCTGGGTGAGACCCCGCCCCCTTCCCACAGTCCCTTGCTCCTGGTTCAATAGACCCCAGATGTGGCCTGACTCCTCCTCCCATAATGCCTTGCTCCTGATCGGTCCCTCCATGTCCCCAAGAGCCCTCCCAATCCTGTGTCCTTGTGCAGCTCATGGCCTTGTCCCTGTCCCAGCATGCCCTGGGGCTGGGTGCCCTGGGTGAGGCCCCACCCCCTTCCCACAATCCATTTGCTCCTGCTCTAACAGACCTAAGTGTTGCTGACTCCCCCTCCCATCATGCCTAACTCCTGATTGGATCACCCATGCTGCTGAGGCCCCTCTTTTTCCCATGGCCACGCCCCCATCCCAGCATGTCTTGCTCTTTCTTGCACCGTCCATACCGCTAAGGCCCCCTCCAAATCCCATGGCACCGCTCCCGTGCATGCATGCCTTGCTCCCGGTTGGCCCATCCCTGCCCCCGATGCCCCGCCTTTTCTGCGGCCCTGCCCCTGTCCCAGCATGCCGTGCTGTACCTGCAGAAGGAGGCGGGGCCAATGGGGACCCCGGGGCCAGGCTGGCTGGGGCAGGAGGAAGAGCCCCTGCAGGGCTTCTCGTGGCGCGGCGGCTCTGAGCCCGACACCACCGGCATCCACATCTGGAGCGAGGTCTTCGTTGTCCAGAAGCCGGGGGGCAAGAAGGTGCTGGGGGCAGGGCTATGGGATGGGGCAGGCTGGAGGAATGGGGGTGGGCCCAGGGAGAGGGGGTGGGGCTGGGGAAAGAGAGTAGATCCATGGGATGTGGGTGAGACTGAGGGAGAAGTGGTGGAGCCATGGGTTGTGGGTTGGGCCACGGGATGGGGGCAGGACCATATTGAGAGGGGTGGAGCCATAGAGTGGAGAGGGTGGGGCTAAGGGAGGGGTCAAAGCCATGGTATGGGGCGGGGCCCAGGGAGAGGGTGGAGCCATGGAATGGGGATGGGGTGTGGGAGCGAGGGCGGAGCCATGGAATGGGGGTGGAGCCAGGGTTGATGCATAGCGGGGTGGGGGCTGGAGGCTGGGTGCAGGTCTGGGGGTGATTGGCAGGTGGGTGGAGCTGAGCTGAGGCTAGGGGTGAGAGAGCTGGGGTGGCACCAGGGGTGATTGGCAGATGGGATGAGCTGGGATGTGTTGGGTGGGGCCAGGGGTGCAGGCGGGGAAGCAGGGGGTGATGGGGCGGGGCTCCTGTGGGGGCGGGGTCTCACCCCCATGCCTGCCCCCAGGTGGCTGTGGTGTTGATGGACACGCAAGGCGCCTTTGACAGCCAATCGACTGTCAGGGACTGCGCCACCATCTTTGCGCTCAGCACCATGACCAGCTCTGTCCAGGTAAGCTTTGTGCACCCCAGGGCATCCTGGGAAGGAAGAGGGGCTTGAGATTTAAGGGGCCAGCACACTGTTTGCCCCATGGGTCCTGACATTTAAAGGGATGGTGTGCCATGTTCTGGGATTTAAAGGGACAGGACACCTTTGCCCACCCCTATCCTCCCCATCCAAGCTTTCTGGAATTTAAAGGGCCAGTGCACCTTTCCCCCCTGTGCTTTCTGGAATCTAAAAGGCCAGCTGCCTTTTGTCTCCATTTCCTGAGATTTAAAGGGCCAGTGCAGCATTTGCCCCATGGGTCCTGGCATTTTAAAGAGCCAGAGTGCCATTTGCCATGGTGTTTCCTGAGATTTGAAAGGCCAGTACACTTTTTGCCCCCATGCTTCCTGAGAGTTAAAGGGCTGGTGTGCCCCGGGCCAGAAGTGACAGGGGTCTCTGTTCCCTTTCAGATCTATAACCTCTCCCAGAACATCCAGGAGGATGATTTGCAACAGCTGCAGGTACAAGGGGAGGCCAAGGAAGTGGGGGAGGAGGCACCAGGGGCATCTCTGGACTCTCAGGAGTGGGGGGAGGGGAAGGGGGCAGCATCTCAGAGCCATGGGAATCAGTAGCACAGGACCTGCCCCTTCCCCAGGGCAGAGTGGCCTGTGACTGCCTGGGCCCTCGGATCTGGGCACTAACAAGCCCATTAGCAGAAGGCAGGACGGAGGCTGATTTACCCCAGTGGGGGTGGGTTGGGGGGCTCTATATGACTCCCTCTGCTTAATGCCCCATGATTGTCTCTGTCCCCTCCCCCAGCTCTTCACAGAGTACGGGCGCTTGGCCATGGATGAGATCTTTCACAAGCCCTTCCAGGTACGTCCCAGCTTCCCCGCCCACCTCCCTGGCATCAGAGTTGGGGGTAACTGAGGATGTGGACAGGGGTGGAGGGGCAGATCTCAGGCTTGGCCATTTCAGAGACCCCTCACCTGGCTGAGAGTGGTCCTGCTATAACCCACAACCCCCTGGGGCACCACCCCTGTGAATCACCCCCATGACATGAGTTTGATCAGTCTCAGCTCTGCTCCCCAGTCCCCCCACCCTTAATTGGATTAGCTGCAGAGACCACCCCCCCTCCCCCCATAAGGCCCTCCCAGGCAAGGACATCCTATAGGGACCCCCATCTTGGGAACCAACCCCCCAGGAGGGAGGGGCAGGGAAGTAGCACTCCATTGTTGCCTCCCTGTGATATCACTTGTGACCCTCCTGCCATCCCCTCTCCCCACCTCCAGACCCTCATGTTCCTGGTCCGGGACTGGAGCTTCCCTTACGAATATATCTATGGCCTCCAGGGGGGTATGAAGTTCCTGGAGAAGCGGCTGGAGGTGAGTCTGGGGGAAGCTGGGAGGCCCTAGAGGGGATTGTGGGGTGTCATTCACCTTCCCACCCCTAGGGAGCACCAAATGGGTGGTTACCATACAAGCCTTGTGCGTGCGTCTGTCCCCAAATATTGCCCCCCTCCCTTGTGAGCCTGAAAAGGAGTATCTATGTCATTCTGGGCTCCCCCTCCCCAAGAATGAGGGAGGGGGGTAGAATTGTACCCTCTGTCATAGATGCCCTTTGGGGGTCAGCCTGATGCCCCAAGAGGTGGGTGGGGGGGACGGGGACAGAGACCCTGCTGCCATCGACAACCAGATACCAGGGTAACTAAGTCCAGTGAGCAACTGGGAGTGAGTGCTGGGTTGGAGAGGCATGGGGGGCAGGCATGGCCAGGTTGGGTAGGGCAGAGGGGCAAGAGGGCAGATCAGGCCAGCATGGGGAGCAGGGGCTTTTGGGAGCCTAAGGGGGACTCAGGGGTGTCATTCACCTTTCTGCCAGCAGGGGGCATCCTGTGGATGATGCTAACACAGGCTTTTCCCATCTGTCCATGCCTAAATATCATCCCCCCTCCCCTTGCTAGTTAGTTCCTGCCCCATTCTGGGCCTGGCCCCCTTGCTCGCAGGGGCTGATCTGGTGTCTTCCTCCCCCCGCAGGTGAAAACCCAGCAGCACGAGGAGATCCAGAACGTGCGCAAGCACATCCACTCGTGCTTCACCGATGTCAGCTGCTTCCTCCTGCCCCACCCCGGCCTCAAGGTGGCCACCAGCCCCAGCTTCGATGGTCGCCTCAAAGGTAACCCTGTCCCCTTCCCACAGTTCCTCTGTGCCAGCATCCAAGGCCCTGCCCTTTCCCACAATCCCCTGTCTCTGGGGGTCCATGTAACCCCCTCCGCACAATTCTGTGTGTCTGCTCCCTGCTTCCCACAATACTCTCTGTGTGTGAGGCCCCACCCCCTTCTTGCCCATGGGGGCAAGTCACTGGGGTTAAGGCCTTGCCCCCATTTCATGCCCCCTTCCCACAATTCCCTGTCCCAGTATCTGAGGCCCCGCCCCTACCCTGAATCCCCTGTCCCCAGGGTCAAGCCCCCATCCCGCAATCCCTGGTCCTTTGGTTCTTTCTGTCTGCCTGGTCTCTTTTGAGACCCTCCTGTCTGTCTAACTAGAGATAAGCCAGGATATTTTAGGTCCCATCCATCTGTGCCTGAGTTATTCTGGGGCATTTCCTGCCTAGTTCTGCCCATGGCCTGAGTTATTTTGGGGTATCTCGCACCTTGTCTGTCTGCCCCTGAGCTACCCCAGGGCATCTCACCCCTGGTCTGTGTATGCCTGAGTTAACCTGGGGCATCTTGCATTCCATCTACTCCTGGCGTGACTTATTCTGGGGTATCTCACACCCTGTCTGTTTCCCTTAAAATAATCCAGGGTATCTCAGCCCCCATCTCTCTGTGCCTGGGTTATTCTGGGGTATCTTCTGCCCTGTGTGCCTGCCATCCAGAGTTACCCTGTGGTTCCCTGCCCTGCCTTCCTGTCTCACCCCCCATGCCCCCTCTCCTGCCCCCCACAGATGTGGCCGAGGAGTTCAAGGAGGGGCTGCAGCAGCTCATACCCCTGGTCCTGGACCCCGCGCGGCTCAGGGAGAAGGAAATCAATGGCTCCATGGTCACCTGCCGTGGGCTGCTAGAGTACTTCAAGGTGGGTGCAGTCCTGCCTCCGGTTAGCAGGGGGCAGCAGCGCTCCACTGAGCCTCCTGCCAGGGACCGGGGTTAGAGCCGGGAGCTCTCTTGTCAGGGGTTGCACTAGACTTCCTGAGGTCCCTTCCAGCCCTCATTTTCTATAATTTTATAATACGTGATAATTGGGACGATGCAGGCGTGTACTGTGTTGCACCGTGCCCTCTGTGCTGCGCTGTGCCCTCTGCGATGCGCCATGCCTTCTGCGCAGCCTCCTCAAATTTCCACGCCAAGGTGTGGCAGGAGAGACTGCTGGACTGGGGAAGGCTGGAGGGTGTAGGCACAAGCAAGCCCTGAGAGGCGGGTACTCTGTAGCAGCACTTGCAAGTAGTTTATAATATCTAACGTGTGCACACATGTTGGGATATGTGTGTGTATGTATACATGTATGCATATATAATGTGTGTATATGTACATAAGTCCATATATATACATGTGTGTGCATGTATACATGTACACTATGTGTATATGTGTACACATGCATACATACTTGTGTATATTTGTGTGAGGAGATCAGCAGGGACAGGCCGGTTAGTGTTTCATGAGTCTTGCATGAGGGGGGGTGTTGTGAATCGGGTGCAGGGCACTGAGGGCATAACTGGATTCCCATAGGGCTGCAATGGGTTAAAGAGGAGGTGGGGCCATGCCCCCACCTGTGCCTCAGTTTCCCCATTCAGCGGGGAAGCTAGTACATGAATTGGGGGCAGGTATTTGCTGGGGGGTTGAGTGCATGTGGTGGGGGTCACAACTGGGGCAGGGGCGCCCCTGATGTCTGCCACCCTTCATCTTGTTTCTCACCCTCCCAGGCGTACATCAAGATCTACCAAGGGGAGGACCTGCCACACCCCAAAACCATGCTCCAGGTGAGTACTTGCCCCAACCTGGGGTATCTACTGTGGGCTGGGGGGGGTGCTGTTACCCTCCTGCCATGGGCTGGATGGGAAGGGTTAAATCTGGAGAGAAGGGGGTGGGGCTATAGATGAGTTGCATCCTCCCACCAGTAGCTGTCAGTGTCACCCCCTTGTCTGCTGTGGGTGGTACTGTACCCCCAATGTCATCCTCCCATTGGCCGTGGGCAGTTCTGTACCCATGATGTCAACCCCCCATTGGCTCTGGGTGGTACTATACCCCCATGTCACCCCACATTGTCAACCGTCCATTGGCTGTGGGGTGTACTACACCCCCCAGCATCACCCCCTCATTGGCTGTAGGCAGTCCTGCACCCTTGATATCACCCTCTGTTGGCTGAGGTTGGTACTGCAGGCCCGATGCCCTCCTCCCAATGTCTGGGAGCAATACTGACCCCACCCCCGGAGCGAGGGGGCTAGTGCTGGGCCTTGCTGTGACGTCTTTCCTGCCCCATCTCTTCCTCTCTACAGGCAACTGCAGAGGCCAATAACTTGGCAGCTGTGGCCTCTGCCAAGGACCTGTATTACCTCAAGATGGAGCAGGTACGTAAGGCCCCGTGGGGTGAGGACTGGAGGAGGGGCTGATATGGCCCCCATGTGATGACAGGGCTCCCTTTAACCCTACTGGAGCCCCCCATCCAGACGCCCCCTTTGAGAAACTGCCAGAGACAGAAGAGAACCCAGGCGTCCGAGCTCCTGCCCCCCCCATCCTAACTGGCCTGCCCCCACTCCCCTCCCAGATACCCTAGGTACCCAGAACGACTCATCCAGGGTAAGTTACATCTTTCCTCAACCTTGAATGAGCAAGGAGCATTAATTACACCAGATACTTAATCCACTAGAAATGACATCCATCCATACCCTTGAATTGATGCATCCTGTTGGAGTGTCCTATGGACCCCTTAGATGCCCTAGAACATCTCATCCAGGATAAATTACATCTGTTCCCAACCTTGAATGAGATGATATTTTTTCAGTGTTTTTATTACAGTGGATGCTTAATCCAGGTTAAATTACATCTGTCCACAACCTTGAATAACCCCAGTACTTTTCCAGTGTTTACTTACTCTGGATGCTTAATCCACGCTAAATTACATCTGTCTATAACCTAGAATGACCCAATATTTTTCCAGTGTCTTAGTTATATTGAATGTTTAATCTGCATTAAATTATGTCTGAATCCAGGTTGATCATAGAACATGAGACTTGGAAGGGACCTCAGGAGGTCACATCTAGTCCACCCCCCTGCTCAAAGCAGGACCAGCCCCAACCAGATCATTCTAGCCAGGGCTTTGTCGAGCTGTGCCTTAAAAACCTCCAAGGATGGAGAGTCCACCACCTCTCTGGGGAGCCTGTTTCAGTGCTTCACCACCCTCCTAGTGAGAAAGGTTTTTCTAATATCTAACCTCAGCTTCCCTTGCTACAGCTTGAGCCCACTGCTCCTTGTTCTGTCGTCTGCCCCCACTGAGAACAGTCCAGCTCCAGCCTCTGTGCAACCCCCCTGCAGGGAGTTGAAGGCTGCTATTAAATCCCCCCTCAGTCTTCTATTCTCCAGACTCAATAAGTCCAGTTCCTTCAGCCTCTCCTCACAGGTGCTCCAGCCCCTGGACATTTCTTGTTGCCCTCTGGTGGACTCTCCAATTTGTCCACATTCTTTCTGTAGCGGGGAGGCCCAAAACTGGACACAGGACTGCAGATGTGGCCTCATCAGTGCTGAATAGAGGGGAAAAATCACTGCCTTTGACCTGCTGGCAACGCTCCTACCAATGCAGCCCAGGATGCCGGTAGCCTTCTTGACAACAAGGGCGCGCTGCTGGCTCCTGTTCAGCTTCTTGTCCCCTGTCACCCCCATGTCTTTTTCTGCAGAGCTTCTGCCCAGCCAGTCACCCCCAGCCTGTCCCGGTTCAGGATATGTCTGTCTACAACCCAAGCCAGTACTTTTCTAATGTCTTAGTTACACTGGATGCTTCATGTGGATTTAATTACATCTGTCCACAACCTTGAATGACCCAGTGCTTTTCCAGTGTATAAATTATGCCAGAGACTTTGTCCACAGTAAATTATGACTGCCTTAAATGAGCCAAGACTTTTCCAATGCATTAGTTACACCCGTTGCCTAATCCATGTTAAATGATGTCTGCCCACACCCTCATCTCCCTTCTCCTCCCCCCCTCCCCCAGATGTGTGGGGGTCACAAGCCGTATGTGGCTCCAGCCCAGCTGGACGAGAGGCACGAGGCAGCACGAACAGCGGCCCTGGAGCTCTTCCGGCGGGTAAAGAAGATGGGGGGTGCGGCCTTCAGCCGGGGCTACGAGGAGCAGCTGGAGACGGAGCTGGCCGAGCTGCACGCTCACTTCTCCCGGCACAACGAGGCCAAGAACCTGCTGGGGGCTCTGCGCACCCCGGCCGTGCTGGCGGGCGCTGTGCTGGCCCTCTACCTGGGCTCGGGCCTCTCGGGCTTCGTCGGCCTGTCCGTGGTGGCCCAGCTCTGCAACGGGCTGGTGGGGCTGTTGCTGCTGGCCCTGCTGGCCTGGGGCTACATCCGGTACTCGGGGCACTACCGGCCCCTGGGGACCGCCATTGACACCACTGCCGGCTACGTGCTTGAGCAGGTAGGTGGGAGACAGGGGCAGGGTAGAGGGGCAGGGTGGGGGGGTGTTGGGGCAGGCAGCATGGGGTAAACGGTGAGGTGGCAGGGGGGGCATTGCCAGGGCCCCCTCCCCCTTCTTACCCCGCTTCTTTCTGCTCCCTCAGGCCACCGCGCTGGGCAACACCACCCGTACTGACACTGCCGGCCCCCCACCCCGGCCCCCGCCTGACAAGAAGGGGCAGTGAGTGATGGGGCTGCACCTGGGGACCCTCCCACCTCGCTGCCTCCCCGCAGCCTCCACTTTGCTCCCCCCCAGCGCTAGCTCTCGCACTTTAAGACCGGACTGCAGCTTTATGGGCCCATCAGTGCCCACCAGTGCCTTCCAACTGGGGCTCCGTTCCCTTCCCCCTCTGTTGGGAGGGCACAGAGACCTGGGGGGTCCAAGTGCCCCCCATCCCCCCTCCAGTGCCTTGAGCCCCTCCTCTACTTTATTTGGGGGGGTCTTGTATTGCCCCCCCACAATGGTCAGCCATTTTGTATCAGGGTCACGCCCCACCCGGTTGCCTGGGTTCTATGTTGGGGGGGGCATGTGCCCCTCCCCCCTCCCAGGGCCTGGCAGTCCCTGGGAGCTATTGAGTCGGGGGTCTAGACCCCCGCTTTCCCCACATGGGCCAGATCCTGCCCCACATTCCCGCTGATGTATAAGCACAATAAATGGCATTCCGTTTCCAGCTGGTGCCTCGGGGGTTAATTGGGGACTGTTGCCATGGGGATGGGAGGGCTGGCTTGGGGTGGTTAATGCCCTGGCTGGGGTGAAGAGGGCAGGAGTAAGAGCCCCAGCTCAGTGGGGGCGGGGCCTGGGGAAGAGGTGGGGCTCTTCACAGGGTAAACTGAGGCATGCCTAGCTTCCTTGAGGTTGAGCCCAACCTCCCACCCCAATTTGGAAGCTGGGGGGGGGCCTGATTCCCATTTCTCCCCAGTATGGACCCCGCCTCTCCCCAGAGCTCCAGTGTTAGGGACCCACTTGGCCCCCCCCCACCTGATTGGGGGCAGCAGGCCATGACCCCCCCTCTGTCCAACCCCTCAGCCCCTCCCTGCTTCACCAGTTGCCCCCCCCAGACCCAGCTGCTCCCCCCTGGCACCTTGATCTGGCTCATGGGGTCTTGCCTCACCAAGGCTGATGCCCCTGCCATGGATGCCAGCCTCGGGCCAGGTGGGGATAGAGGGCTTCCTTCCCAATCGCAGTAGCGCCCTGGCACTGGGCTGGGCTGGGCTGGGCTGGGTGGAAGGGGTTGTGAGGGGAGGGTACTGCTACAGGGGCTAAGGTCTGGGGGGGCGGGGGGAATGTCCTGGACGCCTGGGTCCTCGTGTGGCACCAGCCCATGTGAGAGCGATGTGTGCGTGACCTCCCCCCGCCCCCGTGACTGGGGGGGGCAGGATAGCCCCCAAGCCCACTCCTTAGGTTGGGGGGCACCTCCCAGCGAGCGGGCAGGGCTTCAGCTAGGTCCCGCCCCCAGGGATGTGGGCAGGGCTTCCTGTAGAGTGCAACTGAGAGCAACCCCAGGGCCCTCTATTAATCTGGGGGGGGAGGGAGTCTCTCCCCCAGATCTGCCCCTGCCCCATGGAGGCCAAATTGCCTGGGGGGCGGCACTTAGATGGTCCCTTTGCCCCTCCCCCACTGCTATGGGGACCCCATTGTGATGCGTTTCCTTTGCTGGGAAACAGGGCCAAGCCCCTCGTCCCCCAGGGCGCCCCAGCTGACTTCCCCTGGGGTCTCTGTCCAGCCTCACCCCCCCACCCTTGACCCCCCAACTTGACCCTTGAACCCCACCCCTGAACATGTGAGAAGATGCCCGAGAGCCTGGAGCTCGAAGCTGACGGGTCCCCAGAGAAGTTTCCTGCAGACGTAAGTGTGTGAGCGCCGTACAGCCCCGAGCGCAGGAGTGGGGTGCTCTGGGCCACGATGGGGCCCCGGTCCCAGCCTGGGGGCCTATACAGAGCCCGGCGGCCCCCCATCTTGGCTGGTGGCTGATCTGTGACCTCATCTGAAGCAGAGAACCCCGGGAACACCCTTGGAGGGCACTCCGGGGATTTAAAGAGATACCACTGAATTTTTGGGAGCAAGGCGTCAAGGCTGGTGGGAGGGTCCCCTTTGAGGAGGGGCAGCCGGGCCACCTGGGCTCTACCCTGCCCCTTCCCCTTCCCCTCGTCTTCCACAGGTGGAGCCAGAGCCTGGGGACCTGATTGAGATCTTCCGCGTCGGGTACCAGCACTGGGCCGTGTATGTGGGCCAGGGCTTTGTCATCCACCTGGCCCCGTCCTGTGAGTGCTCTCGGGCACCTGGGCTCTCCCCCCACTCGGGGGTTGAGGAGTGGGGTCGGGGCTGGAGCAGGGGCAGCTGGGAGCCCGGACACCTGGGGTTCTCCTTACTCTGGTCCCCCGCTCTGGGCAGACCATGGGGCCTGGGTGGTCGGACACCTGGGTCCCTGCACCCCCCTGTTGACCCCATCCCATGCCCCCAGGTGAGCTGCCCAACGCGGGCCTGGACAGCCTGGCGTCGGTGCTGAGCTGCAAGGCGCAGGTGCGGCGGGAGCGGCTGGGGGCGGTGGCCGGGGGGCACCGCTACCGTGTCAACAACAAGCACGACGGGAGCCTGCAGCCCCGGCCCAGCCTGGCCGTGGTGGGCAGCGCCGAGGGCCTGGTGGGCTGTGAGCTGGCCTATCGCCTGGGCAGCTGCAACTGCGAGCACTTCGTCACCCGGCTGCGCTACGGCGTCGCCCGCAGCGACCAGGTGCGCCCGGGCACCGGGGTCCCCCGCCGCCCTCCCTCCCCACCCGATGCCGGGGTTCCACCCCTTTGTCTGCCCCTCGTGGATGTTGTGGGTCCATCTTCCCCTTCCCCATGGACCCCTGGATTCACGCCCCCGGATGCCCAGGCTCCCTCTCTGCCCCGCCTCGGATGCCTGGGTCCCACATCCCCTTCTTCCCCCCCAGATCACAAATGCTTGGGGTGAATCCCCCTGGGACACCTGGGTTCAGTGTCCCTGGGACCCATGCTCTCCCCCACTCCCCTGCCCTTACCTGGGGTCCTTCCCCGCTTGGGGAGGACGGTGGCAGCTGTGGGGTTGGGGGGCAGCCCGGACGCCTGGGACCTATCCCCATTCTGGAAGGATGGGATTGAATAGGGGGTCAGGAGCCCAGACACCTGGGTTCTCTGGAGGGCAGTGACGTCAGGGGGGTGAAGAGCAGGGCTGAATCTGGGGGTACAAATCCCCTCCCCCCCTGCCCTTGCACACAGCTCTTTTTATTCAGATGCAGATGTATGCAAATCTACCTTCACTCATAGGTCCAGGACATCGTGGTGGGCGTGGGCGCAGCTGGCCTCAGCCTGGCAGCGCTGGGCCTGCTGAGAGCCGTGGTGAAGAAGAGACACCGGCAGAACCAGTGACGCACTGGGACACAACTGGGACTGGGGGTTTTGGGGGGGCCTTCCAAGATTTCCAGGGGGGAGGGGCATGTTTCAGCCTGTGCCTGTGTTTGGGAGGGCCTCAGGGACCCCCCCCAGTCCCCCCATTTGATTCACAGAAGAGTAAAGGCCAGAGATTGGTACAAAGCCTCTATGCACGGTGCTGTACCTGTGGGGGAGCGGGGGATCAGGGTCCAAGTTTAACCCTCCAGATGCTGGAGTGGTGTTTCAGCCTTTCTCATGCTCTGTCTCATCTACCCCCTCCCCCCCGCACAGCAAAGGGGGGTGAAAAAATGACCTGTATGGGGATAGTTAGCCCCCCTCTCAAGCGTGGGGGTTGTCTGGACTCAGCTAGATGGTGGCCAGATCCTTCAATGACCCCCGTCCAACCCAGTGCAGCTGGGAGGGGGCTCAGGGAGCCCCTCCTGCTCCTAAAAAGCAGATGCCTGCCCCTTAACGAGAGCTGTGCCCTGCCAGCGAGGCCGAAACCTGGCCGTCACAGTGCCCCTTTCTGCCCTGCTGCCCTGTTTCCATGCCGACAAGGCGGCTGCCAGTTAACGAGCTCAGCTAATGCCACGTAACAAGGCTAATTGGTCTCCCTTTAGCCATTTTCTTGGCCCCTTATAGGGCTTTATTATATCCCACAGGCCCCTTCTGCCCCCTTCAGCTAACGAGGAAGCCTGGCCTAACGAAGCCTGCGGTGGTCTAGCGATGGGGCCTCTAATTGTCCCCCGGGGCCTATTTTACTGCGTTGGGGGCCCCTTTTATGCTGAGGGGGCAGGAGGGGGAAGCTGAGGGCGCAGGGGGGAGTCAGGCGGAGTGGGAGATGAGGGGGCTGGAGGGTGGTTGTGGGGGCAGAATGGGGCAGGGATCCAAGGTGGGTCAGGAGCTGAGGGGCAGCAAGGGGTATAGTGGGTGGGGGCAGAGAGGGGCTGGGGGAGCGACCGCAGTGCCAGGTGCCCACAGGGCAGTGAAAGGGCTGCGGCATGGGGCAGGACCCCCAGAGTGCCCCTGACCCAGTGTCCCTGGATTTGCCCCCCCATGAAGGGTGCTCAGTGCCGTGGGGGGTGGTGGGGGTGCAGCTCCGTGGGGCAGAGCTGTGCTCTACTCCGTGCGGGCACAGTTGGCGGAAAGTGGAACGGCCTTCATGGGAGCAGGGGGAGCTCGGGTGCATAAGCACTTACAGACCAAGCAGCAGCACCCCGGGGATGTGGTGGGGACAGCAGAGAGCATTGTGCCTCCTGAAAAGCCACATATGTCCCCTGACAGTGCTGTGACACGGTGGGTGCTTGTACACGTGACGATTTGACCATGTACACGTGACGCATTGTGACAAAAAACCGCCATTTCTCTAGCATACTGGCATCACCCCGTACGTGTGCACAATGTTTTTTCGTTTCAGACTTCCTTTGAGCGTGGCAACTTAGACCACCTCCGATGTGTTTTAATTTTATCGGGGCGAATTGTCGACAAAAAATCGGGCACGTATCCGACAGATTTCCAGTCGCCAATGTACATGTTCTGATGCCCCGTGGCCACCAGGTGGCGCTTCAGTGCCCTGGCGATGTCATGTCATTTGCAGTTCAGTTGGCAGGTGTCTTTGTAAGGCGTGCTTTATCACAGCAGGTGTCGCAGAGCCCCACACGGGCCCATCCTTCTACCCTAACAGCCTCATAGAGTCATAGACACTAGGGCTGGAAGGGACCTTGGAAGATCATCGAGTCCAGCCCCCCTGCCCAGGGGCAGGAAGTCAGCTGGGGTCACTTGATCCCAGCAAGATAAGCATCCAAATGTCTCTTGAAGGCATTCAACGTAGGTGCTTGAACCACCTCCGGCGGCAGGCTATTCCAGGCCTTGGGGGCTCGGACAGTAAAGAAGTTATTCCCTATGTCTAGCCTGAAACGGTCACCGAAGAGTTTGTGACTGTTCAATCTTGTCATCCCTTGGGGCGCTCTGGTGAACAGACGTTCCCCCAGACCCTGGTGAACACCCCCAATAAACCTATAGGTGGCCACCAGATCACCCCTGAGCCTGCGCTTTCCCAGGCTAAAGAATCCCTTGGCTCTCAGCCTGTTGTAAGGTCTGTTTTCCTGACCTCTGATCATGCGTGCGGCTCTCTCTCAAGCTTCTCCACATCCTTTTTGAATTGTGGGGCCCAAAACTAGATGCAGTACTCCAGCCGCGGCCTCACCAAGGCCAAGTACAGCAGGAGAATGACGTCCTGGGATTTGCTCGAGAAGCATCTATGGATGCAAGCCAGGGCTTTGCTTGCTTTACTAGCTGCAGCATCGCATTGCAGGCTCATGTTCATCTTGTGGTCAATCCTGACCCCCGAGTCCCTTTTGTCCATAGTGCTAACCAGCGTAGCACTGCCGAGCCTATAAGCATGCTGCAGGTTTTTCCTCCCAAGGTGGAGAACCTTGAATTTTTCGATGTGGCACACCATCAGGTTCTCATCCACCCATTTGCTGAGCCTGTCCAGGTCAGCCTGGATCACCCTCCTGTCCTCAAGTGTGGATGCTTTACCCCAGAGTTTGGTGTTGTCAGCGAACTTGGCCAGTCCGCTTCTGACTCCAATGTCCACATCATTAATGAAGATGTTGAACAGTATGGGTCCAAGGACAGAGCCTTGAGGGACCCCACTGGTCACAGCGCACCACAACGATTGACCTCCATCAACCACCACCCCCTGGGTCCGACCATGGAGCCAGTTCCCCAGCCAGAGGATCGTGGTGAGGCCAAGGCCGCAGTTGGCCAGTTTCTCCAAGAGGCGATCATGGGATACCAGATCAAAGGCCTTTTTGAAGTCAAGATATATGACATCAATCTCTTCTCCCTTGTCCAGGTGATAGGTCACCTGGTCGTAGAAGGAAATGAGATTGGTCAAGCAAGACCTACCCACAACAAACCCGTGCTGGCTGTCCCTCAGGATATTGCCATCGGCCAGTCTGTTAAGAATGGCCTTTTTGATAATCTTTTCTAAGACCTTCCCCGGGATAGAGGTCACACTGATGGGCCTGTAGTTTGCTGGATCCACTTTCCTCCCTTTCTTGAAGATAGGCACCACGTTGGCCTTCTTCCAGTCCTCAGGCACTACATCGGAGCGCCGGGAGCTCTTGAAGATCCGTGCCAGGGGCTGGGCTATGATGCTCGCCAGCTCCTTGAGTACCCTGGGGTGTAGATTGTCAGGGCCGGCTGACTCGAAGGTGACCAGGCTCTCAAGGTGTTCCTTCACGAGGTCAGCATCGATGGATGGCAGGGGATCTCCCTCACCCGGGCCTCCCTGTCCCATTGTGGGCATGGGCGTCCCTTGGGACTGGTGAAAAACTGATGCAAAGTACCCATTTAGCAAGTTTGCTTTTTCCTGGGCGTCGGTTGTCTGTTGCCCCCTCTGGTTCCGCAGGGGTCCAATGTTGCCCCTGCTTTTCCTTCGGCTCCCCACATATCTAAAAAAGGACCTGTTATTGTCCTTGATACTTGTAGCTAGGTGGAGTTCAGTCACAGCCTGGGCTTTCCTGGTTCACTCCCTGCAGGTCCAGACCAGAGCAGAGTATAAGTTTTGTTCGTGGGAGTTTCTGTGTTTTCAATCAATGGTTGGGGGGGAGGCACTTTTGGCAACGAGGGGTGCCCCATGGCGTCTGTAACCATAGCGGGGTGGGAAGTGATGCACACATTAGCCACCAGTGCCTGACTTTGGGGTTTGGGTGAGGAGCCATGAAGGCATGCTTTGCTTGCAGCCAAATTTACAGTTTAGGGAATACATGAGACCCGAAAGTCAGTGTGACGCTGCTGACCCTTGTCTTAATCGTGGCTCCTGACACTGCAAGACCCAGGTTTCCCTTTCACTGTTTTCTGATCTCTGCCACCCAGCAATGTCTTTTTGCAGGTATCGCCCCCAGCGCTGAAACGTGGCATCTGGCTGAGGCATCTTCCTCACGCTCAGCGTTGCACAATCAGAAACAGTCCCTGACTTTCAGGTCTCGTGTGTTCCCTAAACTGTAAATTGGGCTGCAGGCAAAGCATGCCTTCGTGGCTCCTCACCTAAACCCCAAATTCAGGCTCTGGTGGCTAATGTGTGCGTCGCTTCCCACCCCCTATGGTTACGGATGCCATGGGACACCCCTCATTGCCAAAAATGTCTCCCACCCCCCCCTT